GAGATATAGGGTGAGTTGACTATCTTTTCTCGTTACATGATGTTGCATAGTTCACATGATCTAGATGATTCGACGTATATTTCCTGATTACTGTTTGCTAATGAAATGCATGTTGACTGACTGTTTCAGGACTTCGTTTGTGGGGGTGGGAGGTGTGAATTTCTGTACTTTCTGATCTTCATCATGGCAGTGTCGCAGACTCTGAATCATGTAAGTCTCAACTAGGTTTTGATAACTGTTGACGCTATGATGTTCCGTGTTTCACTTGACTTCTGTGATTTCAACCCTTTTCTACTGATATCCTGAATGTAGTCTGTTTTCTATTTCAGGTTGTGATGGCGATGGTGTCGAATCAGTCGTGTGCAGGTGTGTGTTCGTGTGTGTTTCGGGTAAGTGGAGGAAATGATGAGACACCTCTTGAATGACTTGTGAATGATTTGTTATTCTTTTCTGAATTAGTTGATATTCTTCGTACGAGAGATTGATTGATTGTGGTACTGTTGTGTGTTTTTCTTCAGGTTTGAAGAGTGAATAAATGGTGTTTCCTGTGATTGAAAGCTGTGAGATGCATCGTTGATTTGTGTGTATTGGACCGTGCAGGAGTTTTGCTACCTCTGGCTGGGTGAGTACTTGTTTGTCTTGTAGATGATGTCATCCAGTTCTGCTATTGATTATTATAATGAAACGAACGATTTTACCCTGATTCGCTTAACCTTGTACTAAGTGAGTTTTGTTCTTCTCTTCCAGTGAGTGAGGAAGGCGAGAATTGGAGTGGCGAGACTGTTGCGATCTGTGTGTGGAGTGTAACGATTCGGGAGTGTGAAGTATCCGTTGGACATCGGAGATGCCTGGTAAGTTGTCACGGAGAGGATTTTGAATGCTATGTAATGATGAGTTGATTTTTGGACTGGTGTCCGCAATCGCCCCTAACTGAGATATTGGCTAACCTATTTGCTTTTATATTTCAGGTTTGGTTGCGATTGTACTTGTATGAAGCCTGGGACTGCTTTCTTCACATTCTCTGGATCGGATCAGTCGTGCGAGATGAGATATAGGGTGAGTTGACTATCTTTTCTCGTTACATGATGTTGCATAGTTCACATGATCTAGATGATTCGACGTATATTTCCTGATTACTGTTTGCTAATGAAATGCATGTTGACTGACTGTTTCAGGACTTCGTTTGTGGGGGTGGGAGGTGTGAATTTCTGTACTTTCTGATCTTCGTCATGGCAGTGTCGCAGACTCTGAATCATGTAAGTCTCAACTAGGTTTTGATAACTGTTGACGCTATGATGTTCCGTGTTTCACTTGACTTCTGTGATTTCAACCCTTTTCTACTGATATCCTGAATGTAGTCTGTTTTCTATTTCAGGTTGTGATGGCGATGGTGTCGAATCAGTCGTGTGCAGGTGTGTGTTCGTGTGTGTTTCGGGTAAGTGGAGGAAATGATGAGACACCTCTTGAATGACTTGTGAATGATTTGTTATTCTTTTCTGAATTAGTTGATATTCTTCGTACGAGAGATTGATTGTGGTACTGTTGTGTGTTTTTCAGGTTTGAAGAGTGAATAAATGGTGTTTCCTGTGATTGAAAGCTGTGAGATGCATCGTTGATTTGTGTGTATTGGACCGTGCAGGAGTTTTGCTACCTCTGGCTGGGTGAGTACTTGTTTGTCTTGTAGATGATGTCATCCAGTTCTGCTATTGATTATTATAATGAAACGAACGATTTTACCCTGATTCGCTTAACCTTGTACTAAGTGAGTTTTGTTCTTCTCTTCCAGTGAGTGAGGAAGGCGAGAATTGGAGTGGCGAGACTGTTGCGATCTGTGTGTGGAGTGTAACGATTCGGGAGTGTGAAGTATCCGTTGGACATCGGAGATGCCTGGTAAGTTGTCACGGAGAGGATTTTGAATGCTATGTAATGATGAGTTGATTTTTGGACTGGTGTCCGCAATCGCCCCTAACTGAGATATTGGCTAACCTATTTGCTTTTATATTTCAGGTTTGGTTGCGATTGTACTTGTATGAAGCCTGGGACTGCTTTCTTCACATTCTCTGGATCGGATCAGTCGTGCGAGATGAGATATAGGGTGAGTTGACTATCTTTTCTCGTTACATGATGTTGCATAGTTCACATGATCTAGATGATTCGACGTATATTTCCTGATTACTGTTTGCTAATGAAATGCATGTTGACTGACTGTTTCAGGACTTCGTTTGTGGGGGTGGGAGGTGTGAATTTCTGTACTTTCTGATCTTCGTCATGGCAGTGTCGCAGACTCTGAATCATGTAAGTCTCAACTAGGTTTTGATAACTGTTGACGCTATGATGTTCCGTGTTTCACTTGACTTCTGTGATTTCAACCCTTTTCTACTGATATCCTGAATGTAGTCTGTTTTCTATTTCAGGTTGTGATGGCGATGGTGTCGAATCAGTCGTGTGCAGGTGTGTGTTCGTGTGTGTTTCGGGTAAGTGGAGGAAATGATGAGACACCTCTTGAATGACTTGTGAATGATTTGTTATTCTTTTCTGAATTAGTTGATATTCTTCGTACGAGAGATTGATTGTGGTACTGTTGTGTGTTTTTCAGGTTTGAAGAGTGAATAAATGGTGTTTCCTGTGATTGAAAGCTGTGAGATGCATCGTTGATTTGTGTGTATTGGACCGTGCAGGAGTTTTGCTACCTCTGGCTGGGTGAGTACTTGTTTGTCTTGTAGATGATGTCATCCAGTTCTGCTATTGATTATTATAATGAAACGAACGATTTTACCCTGATTCGCTTAACCTTGTACTAAGTGAGTTTTGTTCTTCTCTTCCAGTGAGTGAGGAAGGCGAGAATTGGAGTGGCGAGACTGTTGCGATCTGTGTGTGGAGTGTAACGATTCGGGAGTGTGAAGTATCCGTTGGACATCGGAGATGCCTGGTAAGTTGTCACGGAGAGGATTTTGAATGCTATGTAATGATGAGTTGATTTTTGGACTGGTGTCCGCAATCGCCCCTAACTGAGATATTGGCTAACCTATTTGCTTTTATATTTCAGGTTTGGTTGCGATTGTACTTGTATGAAGCCTGGGACTGCTTTCTTCACATTCTCTGGATCGGATCAGTCGTGCGAGATGAGATATAGGGTGAGTTGACTATCTTTTCTCGTTACATGATGTTGCATAGTTCACATGATCTAGATGATTCGACGTATATTTCCTGATTACTGTTTGCTAATGAAATGCATGTTGACTGACTGTTTCAGGACTTCGTTTGTGGGGGTGGGAGGTGTGAATTTCTGTACTTTCTGATCTTCGTCATGGCAGTGTCGCAGACTCTGAATCATGTAAGTCTCAACTAGGTTTTGATAACTGTTGACGCTATGATGTTCCGTGTTTCACTTGACTTCTGTGATTTCAACCCTTTTCTACTGATATCCTGAATGTAGTCTGTTTTCTATTTCAGGTTGTGATGGCGATGGTGTCGAATCAGTCGTGTGCAGGTGTGTGTTCGTGTGTGTTTCGGGTAAGTGGAGGAAATGATGAGACACCTCTTGAATGACTTGTGAATGATTTATTATTCTTTTCTGAATTAGTTGATATTCTTCGTACGAGAGATTGATTGTGGTACTGTTGTGTGTTTTTCAGGTTTGAAGAGTGAATAAATGGTGTTTCCTGTGATTGAAAGCTGTGAGATGCATCGTTGATTTGTGTGTATTGGACCGTGCAGGAGTTTTGCTACCTCTGGCTGGGTGAGTACTTGTTTGTCTTGTAGATGATGTCATCCAGTTCTGCTATTGATTATTATAATGAAACGAACGATTTTACCCTGATTCGCTTGACCTTGTACTAAGTGAGTTTTGTTCTTCTCTTCCAGTGAGTGAGGAAGGCGAGAATTGGAGTGGCGAGACTGTTGCGATCTGTGTGTGGAGTGTAACGATTCGGGAGTGTGAAGTATCCGTTGGACATCGGAGATGCCTGGTAAGTTGTCACGGAGAGGATTTTGAATGCTATGTAATGATGAGTTGATTTTTGGACTGGTGTCCGCAATCGCCCCTAACTGAGATATTGGCTAACCTATTTGCTTTTATATTTCAGGTTTGGTTGCGATTGTACTTGTATGAAGCCTGGGACTGCTTTCTTCACATTCTCTGGATCGGATCAGTCGTGCGAGATGAGATATAGGGTGAGTTGACTATCTTTTCTCGTTACATGATGTTGCATAGTTCACATGATCTAGATGATTCGACGTATATTTCCTGATTACTGTTTGCTAATGAAATGCATGTTGACTGACTGTTTCAGGACTTCGTTTGTGGGGGTGGGAGGTGTGAATTTCTGTACTTTCTGATCTTCATCATGGCAGTGTCGCAGACTCTGAATCATGTAAGTCTCAACTAGGTTTTGATAACTGTTGACGCTATGATGTTCCGTGTTTCACTTGACTTCTGTGATTTCAACTCTTTTCTACTGATATCCTGAATGTAGTCTGTTTTCTATTTCAGGTTGTGATGGCGATGGTGTCGAATCAGTCGTGTGCAGGTGTGTGTTCGTGTGTGTTTCGGGTAAGTGGAGGAAATGATGAGACACCTCTTGAATGACTTGTGAATGATTTGTTATTCTTTTCTGAATTAGTTGATATTCTTCGTACGAGAGATTGATTGTGGTACTGTTGTGTGTTTTTCAGGTTTGAAGAGTGAATAAATGGTGTTTCCTGTGATTGAAAGCTGTGAGATGCATCGTTGATTTGTGTGTATTGGACCGTGCAGGAGTTTTGCTACCTCTGGCTGGGTGAGTACTTGTTTGTCTTGTAGATGATGTCATCCAGTTCTGCTATTGATTATTATAATGAAACGAACGATTTTACCCTGATTCGCTTGACCTTGTACTAAGTGAGTTTTGTTCTTCTCTTCCAGTGAGTGAGGAAGGCGAGAATTGGAGTGGCGAGACTGTTGCGATCTGTGTGTGGAGTGTAACGATTCGGGAGTGTGAAGTATCCGTTTGACATCGGAGATGCCTGGTAAGTTGTCACGGAGAGGATTTTGAATGCTATGTAATGATGAGTTGATTTTTGGACTGGTGTCCGCAATCGCCCCTAACTGAGATATTGGCTAACCTATTTGCTTTTATATTTCAGGTTTGGTTGCGATTGTACTTGTATGAAGCCTGGGACTGCTTTCTTCACATTCTCTGGATCGGATCAGTCGTGCGAGATGAGATATAGGGTGAGTTGACTATCTTTTCTCGTTACATGATGTTGCATAGTTCACATGATCTAGATGATTCGACGTATATTTCCTGATTACTGTTTGCTAATGAAATGCATGTTGACTGACTGTTTCAGGACTTCGTTTGTGGGGGTGGGAGGTGTGAATTTCTGTACTTTCTGATCTTCGTCATGGCAGTGTCGCAGACTCTGAATCATGTAAGTCTCAACTAGGTTTTGATAACTGTTGACGCTATGATGTTCCGTGTTTCACTTGACTTCTGTGATTTCAACCCTTTTCTACTGATATCCTGAATGTAGTCTGTTTTCTATTTCAGGTTGTGATGGCGATGGTGTCGAATCAGTCGTGTGCAGGTGTGTGTTCGTGTGTGTTTCGGGTAAGTGGAGGAAATGATGAGACACCTCTTGAATGACTTGTGAATGATTTGTTATTCTTTTCTGAATTAGTTGATATTCTTCGTACGAGAGATTGATTGATTGTGGTACTGTTGTGTGTTTTTCAGGTTTGAAGAGTGAATAAATGGTGTTTCCTGTGATTGAAAGCTGTGAGATGCATCGTTGATTTGTGTGTATTGGACCGTGCAGGAGTTTTGCTACCTCTGGCTGGGTGAGTACTTGTTTGTCTTGTAGATGATGTCATCCAGTTCTGCTATTGATTATTATAATGAAACGAACGATTTTACCCTGATTCGCTTAACCTTGTACTAAGTGAGTTTTGTTCTTCTCTTCCAGTGAGTGAGGAAGGCGAGAATTGGAGTGGCGAGACTGTTGCGATCTGTGTGTGGAGTGTAACGATTCGGGAGTGTGAAGTATCCGTTGGACATCGGAGATGCCTGGTAAGTTGTCACGGAGAGGATTTTGAATGCTATGTAATGATGAGTTGATTTTTGGACTGGTGTCCGCAATCGCCCCTAACTGAGATATTGGCTAACCTATTTGCTTTTATATTTCAGGTTTGGTTGCGATTGTACTTGTATGAAGCCTGGGACTGCTTTCTTCACATTCTCTGGATCGGATCAGTCGTGCGAGATGAGATATAGGGTGAGTTGACTATCTTTTCTCGTTACATGATGTTGCATAGTTCACATGATGTAGATGATTCGACGTATATTTCCTGATTACTGTTTGCTAATGAAATGCATGTTGACTGACTGTTTCAGGACTTCGTTTGTGGGGGTGGGAGGTGTGAATTTCTGTACTTTCTGATCTTCGTCATGGCAGTGTCGCAGACTCTGAATCATGTAAGTCTCAACTAGGTTTTGATAACTGTTGACGCTATGATGTTCCGTGTTTCACTTGACTTCTGTGATTTCAACCCTTTTCTACTGATATCCTGAATGTAGTGTGTTTTCTATTTCAGGTTGTGATGGCGATGGTGTCGAATCAGTCGTGTGCAGGTGTGTGTTCGTGTGTGTTTCGGGTAAGTGGAGGAAATGATGAGACACCTCTTGAATGACTTGTGAATGATTTGTTATTCTTTTCTGAATTAGTTGATATTCTTCGTACGAGAGATTGATTGATTGTGGTACTGTTGTGTGTTTTTCAGGTTTGAAGAGTGAATAAATGGTGTTTCCTGTGATTGAAAGCTGT